TCTGGAGAAGCAAAGGCTGTATTCCAAGGCTCTTCCGGATGTCACTATTCCGGACCATGTCCAGACGCGTGCTTTAAAGTTATCGATGTATATTGAAGCGTGCCTGATAATGCCACATTAACAAATGCTTTGTAAATGGTGAAAAGTTTTCAAGTCTAAAAAATCACCTTCTAATGACGTTATCGAAGGCTTATCGCAAAAATTCATGTCAGGGTGAATCCAGTCAATAGATCAAAATTCAGATTTCCATAATGAGATCATTAATGTTTGCAGCATTTCAATACTCAGTTATAATCTACCGCTTTCTAAGTCATAAAATGAATAACTAATGGTCCATGACCTGCCAGTATTTTTCGTTAATTTGTCAATTCCGTCTTTGATAGGCAGTCGTTCAGATAGTTGAAATTAGTTCTTCACGCCACACGTGACACTTGCATTTAGCGCCTTCTAAATGAGAACTGAGTACTTTTGCGCCCCAACGTGTTTTAAAATTGCACATATCTTCTCTCTCCCCTGGAATTGGAAATAGCGACTGAAATATAACTTGAAGAAAGGTGTAGTCAGTCAATTCAGTCCGCAGAACGAAGTATTTGATCAATTGTTGGCTCCTTTCACATGTGTCAAAAAAACTAAATGGACGGGAGACAGTTTATAAATCATAACCGGCTGGTGGAATATTTTACGGATTTATTTCTGCTCACTGTGTCCCATGCTCCCATGCACACTTATGAAAGTTAATTTTCCGGTTGGAATGGCCAGTAAGTAAATGTTGTTTTTGCTCTCTTTGATATGGCGACATACGTTCAGTACACGAGGAGTTACAGCCCAGTTACCTGTTGTGCGTTGAAAACATTCTCATCCGTGTGTTTCACCATGAAATTGAAATAAAATCGTCCTCCTTGTGATTCAGTATTATTATAGAGCAGGCTTTCGGGCAACGCCCTTCAGAAGTTCTTCCCAGACACAGTAATCGTGATGCAGGATGCTCATTAATCTTCACTCTTTTAATAGCGTATTATCGGTGAGTCGTTTGGCTGCTGCATGACCTTTCCAAAAGACTTGACCTCTCGTGTTGCCGTCACCTTTATGCCTTGCTTCTATTCGTAATGTAAACAGGACACTGAATTTTGGGGAAAGTAGAACTGAACGAACTGAATCTGGCGAAACCTTGCCATATTGTGGCTGTTGCTCTTCTGTTTAAATGCCGTAGTGGGTACAGACTTCTGATTACAGCACGCTATGGTAGAGATGATGATTCGGCGTAATTCGAGAAAATTAAACAGCAAAACATGTAAAAACATGTTCGTCCAAGGCATCAGTGACTAATTTTAAGAAATTCGTGGAACATTCCTTTTTATTAAATGCGTGTCGAAAAATACATGGCTTTGCCATATTCACTGCAGCGCTTCGATTTTGCTGAAATGCTAAAAAAAATTATTTGTATTAGAGGAATGGCACTGTATAATGCTGTATTTAAAGCTACAGCAGCTACGAATCAGACACTGTACGAATTTATATTGGTCGTTTGATTTGGTGAAGCGTTGTTCATGGTTTCGCTGACGGTGAAGGTAGCAGGCCTCTTTGCATTTGTCTCGCTAACTCTTGGAGTGGTATTGCCGGATATATCACTCTGCGATTATCACTAAAACTTGAATTATTTTAGGGAAACGAGCAGATATCTCCGTTGACTTCTAACAAATTGCCTGGCGAAAGATTCCCCTATCAGAATACGGTCTTCAAGATTTTACTTGACACAAGAACCTCCAGAAATAGTACTCCATCGTATCGGAAATGCGTTGCGACGTTATTCCACGTAACCAGCACTTCTGGTTTTCTCGTTTCATCGGGTCGCGAGTTTTTTCTCAAGTGAAGCAAAGCATACAGCACCAAAAATGGTTCTTTTATGTGCTGTTACTTTAGATCTTTCGTCCTGATCCATCAAAACTCCGTGTCTATCATGTTGATGAACAACGCTTCTAAAACGATAATAGTAAATCCGATTTCAATTCTTGTACGTCGAAAAGCAGCTTTGTCCGCTGATTTCGATATCACCGTGATCAAAATTTCCCGACTAAATTTGGCGTCAAATTTTTTCGAGTCTCCTGTTCCCATCGCCACATCGGGGGAAGAAGCCAACATCGGTTTCAGCTGCAAAACTCCAATACCGCAGGGTACGTAAAGAGAGACTAAAATATTCTGGTTTCGCTTAGAACAACTCAAGTTTAGGTCTTCCAAAGATTGCGAGTTTTGAATTAGCGGATTTCTCCGTTGTCGATCACCGGAGATGCAGGCTATCGCGGTTTCAGAGAAGAACAATGTATTGTGGTTCTGCGAACGGTTCTGGTTTCTACCCGTTGTGCGTGAGTCAGGCTTAATTCTTTGGGTTGCTCGTAATTAATTTTGTAGTTTTTTGTTTGATTTATCTAAGTTTCGCAACGTATGGCATTTGAATTGCACTGATTTCTTATATATGATGATAAAGTACCTGTTGTTTACTATCATTAGCAGAGTTTCCTTGGATATTACATATCTTTACAAATATTAAGCCCTCTTGGGCCGGACGCTTCATTATACGTCCTAATGAG